AAGTAAACATGTGCAACGCACGAGAATCAACAAGAATGTTAGACAAATAAAAACAATGGAAAAATGAAAAGGAGAAGACAAAAAAGTGTACTCGGTGCAGCAACGACGGCGGTGAGTCTTTTGATATAAAATTCGAGAATAGTGTGTGCTGAAATGGCAAATGATAGCCATGAATGAAAGGGACAGAGAAAAAAAAACACCAAAACAAGAGCAAATTGAAGCCCAAATTTTCAGAGGGATTGTAAGCGTAGATTGAATTTTATTCTCTAACACTTCGGTGTAAATTGTAGCCGTGCAATGTTTACCAAACAAAATGCGATAGAGAGAAAGAGAGAGAGAGAGAGAGAAAAGGCCAAAACACGAAGACAAATAATACACAGCCAAAAAAAAACATGATCAACAAGACAAGGCAACGAAGACAATAGCAACAACAGCAACGACGACGACAGAAAAAAAACGCAGCCGCACGAAAATGGAAACAAATAACCGGGCACATAAATGATAAATCTGATAAAGGCATAAAAACGTTAAAAGTCAAAAGTGAGTGTGTTGAGAGAAGGAGAAAGAGAGAGAGAGACTCACACAAAATGTGTATGGGCGATTGTGTTCAACTACATATAGTAAAGTTTTCGATTGCGATTGTGTGGATACATGTTGATTTCATTAGAGTTGCTATTATTTTTCCCGTTGTTTGGTTTGTGTTTTCGCCATAGAAAGGCAAGAAATAACCCAGAAGAATCGGCCCACATCGATGATATACCGAAGCAAATGGCAAATATAGAGTGTGAAAAAAAGCACTGAGCAGGCAGCCGTACAAGTACGTTTACACACTTGCACACAGCAATAATCTTTCGTTGATTAGATATGAGAAATAATAAATGCGGTTTCGCAGAGGTGTTGTGTCGTTTGTTCGTTGATTTTTTTTTTTTTGCTGCTGCTGTTGCTATTTTTGTCGCCTCCGCAGCCCGTCTCTTTCTCTCACCACTTTCTCTGTGATTTGCCTCTTTTTTCTTCTCCTCTATCATCGGTTGCTGATTGTCACTTGGTTTTGTGTTTTGTGTCGACACTACATCGGTATAAATGTCTACTTTGTGTTCTGAGCGCTGAATTTTGGATTTGTTGGGTATGAGTTGGATGGGTATAGAGTGAATGTACTATTTTTCCATTTATATATAAATATATTCACTAAGAGCATGTCTCTTTGATTCCAAGCTTTCGCTTAGTTCACTCAAATCGTTTATCATTCGACCGCATGGAATATGTGCTGCATATGCCCCGAAGTGTGTATGTACGATTCATTCTCAGAATATTGACCGTTATGTGTTCACCCAATGGGAACTTTGTTGGAACTCTGGTTTTTGCGGTTTGTGTCGTCTGCTTTATTCTCATTTCACTATCTGTCCACATCTTGCGCGTTCACTCACTCACTCACTCACTGTTTATCTCTAGATGAACCAAGCCACAGCATGAACACAATTGACTATGATGACAATAGGCTGAGCTGTTGAAACAATTTGTTTATTATTTCGTTTATCCGGCCTGATAGCCGATTATGATTTGTTCGTGCAATTTATTTATGAGACACCCGAAAATGTGACATCATGAGCCATTGTTAGTTTCAGAACAATTAATAAATTACATGCGTGCTTTTATCACATTTTGTGTGCGAGCTGCATGCCGCTGAACCGTTCAATGTATGTATGAGTACAAAAATATGTGTATGTGTATGGATATAGCTCTGATCAATTCATGTTCATGCATTTGCTTGGCTACGATTCGGCGTGTAATTGCTCGTCACGGGCTCAAGTCAATGCAATTTTCTAACAACATCATTTTATCAGTGGAAACCACATTTCATTTTACTGCAACCTGCGACACACACACACGACAATGCCAAAGCACACAAAATCTCAACTCAATAAAGTGATAGCGCATACAAAGCTTAGTGCATATTTCCATCGTTTTTCATTGCAGCATTCAGCGGGTTTTTTTTGTAATCGTTTTCTCTCTCTCTCTCTCTCTCTCTTGTTCCGGTGTGCTATTGCAAATAAAAAGCCGAAAGAACACACGACGACGCAAAAGAGAGAAAGTCGAGTCGAGTCGAGTCGACGAGAAAGAGAGAGAATGAAGAAAAAGCGACGAAATCCCCTTGGAGCGGTAGTAAACGATGAAAATATGCAAACATTGATTACATTTTGTGGATTATTTCTGATATGTTGAGCAATCGGTTTGTAGCGCAACGATGAAGGAATCGACCGAGTATCGATGGGGACACAAAGAATCGCGAGAGCATAGAGCACATTGCATATTAAACATAATACAGATAGACAGAAAGGATAATACCACAAAACGACGTGAAATGGAAAGAGAAAGATCCGCCATTCACGGCATTGCATCCATATTTATAACATTGTTCGGGACATTCAATTTCGGTAATGGCAAATCAATTGATTTGGATAACAAAGTGGAAAAATTATGATGCGTTCATTTGCTCGATTTTAAGTTGTAAAATTGTCAGTCGAATGAAAAAAAAAGGAAATGGAAAAGAGAGATTGGCAACAAAAAAAAAATCACACAAACATTGCCGCACGCACATCGAGCCATCGATACGACGATGATTCAACTCATTTCTCAAATGCTGACATACAGCAAATGGTATTCACATTAGCCATAAACTCATCGATATTTCTATCCATATCATTCTCGGTCAAAATACACACAAGAACACAACGCTAAACCGATTCAAAAATTTGTGGTAGCAACCGAATCATTATTTTAAATCCAATAAATTTCAGCTTACCGGAATACTTTCAAGTGCATTTATTATTTATTGATGATTAATTAATTATACAAAACATCGCCACTTAAAATAAATCAAGCAGCACTTGAGCTGTCTTTAATTAAACATCATCCCTCTAAATGGGCTTCCTCTCACCACCCCACCGCTATTTATTTCTACCTCGCCAGAATGGGCGAATGATTGGATGAATCGACCGCTCACTTGGTTTCTTTAACTCTCACACTTGAGCTAGGTAATTCGATTAGGATGCAAATAATTACTGGTGAATAATTGATTTGAAATGGCTGATCAACACACTTTTTCTTCTTCTTCTTCTTCTTCTTCTTCTGCTCCCCTCCTCCTTCTCCATCATTATATTTCATTTCGGAACGCGATTGTCCGATTGGTTTCAAAACCATACAATACTTTTGATAACTATTTATTTCGGTAATTCTTGTAAATGGCAGAGTTGCATACCAAACCACAATACAGTGTCCAATGGATTTAGAAATGGTTTTGTGGATTTTTTTTTCTCGCATATCCCACTTATTCCTCACTCTCTCTCTATGTCTACAACCTCAGTCGAAGTATGAATGAGCTTTCGTCTATTGAACCATCGAATAAATATCGATTTGTTGAACCACCCATCCACACACCCTTCTCCGTCGCACTTCCAAAACACACCAAAATACAGTCATGGACAAAATTGAGCGTACGCCTATAAATTTGTGTTTTATTTTTTCCAGTAACTTTTCATCTCAAATGTAATATATCAATGGGAAGTACATGAAAAATGAATAACATTGGCAATTTTGAACATCAAAATTGGCCGGCCAATAGGCGGCTTATGGCCCTCGGTAAAAACGGCCAAAAATTCAACTTTTTCCCCAGCCGTTCGATTTAAAAAGTTTAAATGCAGTTTCGAAGGCCCTCAGGAGCAGATACTTTTAAACGCTGAAAACTTTCTGATTGGTTTCAATTTGGCCAAGTTATGGCCGTTGGAAAAATGGCCGATTTTTTTCGAAAAATTAAACCAAGCGTTTGATTGCGAAATGTCATATGTCGTTGGAAAGCCCATTTAATGAAGATAATTTTAATAGTATAAAACATAGAAATCGGTTACAATTTAACCAAGTTATAGGCGTACGAAAATTTTCGTCAAAATTTTTTTGGGTTTTCCAACGGCCATAACTTGCCCAAATTGAAGCCGATCCGAAAGTTTTCAGCGTTTAAAAGTATCTGCTCCTGAAGGCCTTCAAAACTGCATTTAAACTTTTCAAATCGAACGGACTTTTCAAATCGATTGAATTTTTGGCCATTTTTACCGAGAGCCATAAGCCGCCTATTGGCCGGCCAATTTAGATGTTCAAAATTGCCAATATTATTAATTTTTTATGTACTTCCCATTGATATATTACATTTGAGATGAAAAGTTACTGGAAAAAATAAAACACAAAATTTATAGGCGTACGCTCAATTTTGTCCATGACTGTAGATAGAAAGAAACCAAAACGGAAACCCACCATGAGATAATAAATGATTCGAAATTAGAAACGAAACCGTTTGATTTATCGCTCAAATATTATAATATGCATGTGTGAATGGAAGATTTATTCATGACAATTCATTTATCGTGCATTTGTTTATTTCACATGCCAGCGAGAAAATGTTCAAAATTTCAAACTCGACGACCTGTAAACTATTTCGATTGGCGTTTAGTTGCATCGAACAATTGAACCGAGCGCGCGCCAGATACACTTTAACACACCAACACACAGATAATGGGCTTGAAAATTGATTGACTAACAATAGAGTAAGAGAGAGAGAGAAAGAGAAGAGCCGAATGAAAATAATCGAAGTGCATTCCTCGAAATCAGAATGCGATTATGTGGCCAAAAAAAACGATTATAAATCAAAGATTGGTTTCCGATTGTTTTGCAGCCTGAAAATTTTCAACCACCAAACCAAATATATATGGCACGTCGAATAGGTTTGCGAATGAATTTCGCCGTATATTTGAAATATATAACTAAACTTGAAGAGAAATGAAAGAAATAAATAAAACAATTACAAAATTCGCCAGAAATTAAAATGATGAATGTATTTAATTTGTTCGCCTCAAATGGAAAATATTGGTTTCATTTTCGGAGATAGAGATAAAAAAGCGTTATAAACTAGATATCAGCAACAACAACAACAACAACAATAAAACAACAAGTACCTGTGGCATAAGCTGGTTCAATTTCGTCTTCGGAGTGCATTTGTGGCGGCGGCGGTACGATTGGTATGGGTCGTTCGTAGTGCATGCACGCTTCCAAATAATTAATTGGCATATTATCGTTATAGCCGCCTCTTCCTGTACATATCATGCTGTCCATACCGACGATGCTACCGCTACCGGCGCTAATGCCGGGACTCGATCCCGAACCTGATGCCGATCCTGATGTTGTGTAAGGCAAATTGTTGTGATTTTGTTTGTTCGGATAGTTGGTTGCCATTGTTTGCTGCGAAAAGCTCATGATTTCTTCAGAGAAACAAACTCGTGGGCCTGAGCTTTGTAGCCAATAGTCATCTCCAGAACAGTTTGTTCCTGTCAAAAAATAATGAGCTTTTCCACATTGTCATTTCAGGTTTAATTTTGGGTTTCATTTGCTTTGATTGTGTTATACTATATTATTTGGTGTTTTTTTTCTCTCTTCTTTTTTTTCTTTGGTATTTTTGTTTTTGTTTTTGTTCGCATCGATACATACGCACACTATTTCAATACGGGTGGTTTCATTCTCGAAAGAGATAAAAGAGAGAGTAAAAAAGAACACTAATAATATGATTTGTTATCCAAAACGAACCTTGTGGACTGGATCCGACGATGCTCATTGCTTGCGGCGTTGCCGATGTCGATGTTGTCATATAATGATGTGTATACGGATGCGGATGTGGTACATCATAATCGCCGGTATCGCGTAACGTTGAATTCCGTGTCAATGTATTATTTGTGGATTGGACACTTGAAACGGTCGCACCGCGACATAATATATCCGATAATTGATTCGCCTGTATGTCAAAATCATACGACTTTTTTCCGTTTAGATTGATTGTAGCCTCTGGTAACACCTTTTTGAATCGAATGTAAATTTGGATGAAAAAGAATTTCTTTTTTTTGTGTGTGTTTGTTTTGTTCTCTTCTTTTTTTTCGTCATCAAGACATGGGTCAATGATGATGATGATGATGACTTTTTTTCTGTATTCTATACATGATATGTTTGCAGTGCACAAAAAACATTGCTATTCAGTCCTTTGGAATGTTTTGCAAATTTTGTGCACTGTACAAATGGTGGTTGTTTTTTTTCCTGCTATTTCAACATGATAATGGACTGAAATCTAATGCATTTTCATTGTATCGAATTTTCTCATTTCAATTCATGGGATTTTGCCATGAAATTTCGCTCGTTTCATTGAGTTTTCATTTTTATTGTTCGACCACAGTTTTTTTTTTGGCCTGTTTGTTCTCGTATGCTACATACAAATGATATGAACGGATGGTGTATGTAACAACAACAATACGCGCACACACACACGCGATTGTGTGTTTCATTTGTTGTTGAATGTTTGAAAATGTGTTAGAAAGAGAGAGTTTGACCAACAACAGAAAAAAGAAAATTCAAATTCATCCATACCATCTATGGCTTGGCAAAATTACCTGCGGACTATCCAATCGATCAATTGACGGTCGCCTCGAATATTCATCGTTTATAATGGAACCGGGGCCGCCGTTTCCATTGCCACCATCAATCGGACATGATTTCTGTGATAATGCTGAATGTGGCGGTGGCGAATCTTCAATACAATGACATTGGCTATCTTGACATTGAGCTTGAGAAATGGAAATCGAAAAATAGAACAGATGTTATATATCCAAGAATGAAAAATTGATTCATCATCTTCGTCGGTTCGGCCAACGGTTCACAGCATTTTTCTCCACACTAAAACGTTTTGTCCAGTGATTTGACTCCAAATTAAATTTTGAGCTCATAATCAAATCATTCAAAAAATGGTTCTATTAGAGAAAAATCTAAACCAAATGAATCCGTTGTGAACCACGGAGATTTTTTTATTCTCTACAGATGAATTGTATCCGATTCATTCCGTTTTTGTGGCTGTATGTACAAAAATTGTGTGAGTCCTCAATACCTTGACACGATGGGCTGCTGCAGCGGCTACTCCGGCACGGGCTATAGCATGATGGTGCAGGTGGTTCACTTTGTGGAACTGTGTTGATTGGCATTACCGTGCATTGTGTATTACGTCGCGGTGATCGTCCCCGATCCACTGCTGTTGCACTCCAATAGCCCCACGCCATCACAAGTTTTGGTTTTGTTTTTTTTTCCTTTCTTTTGTTTTGTTTTTAGAATAAATGCACTATTTTATATCAATTAATTAAACTGATCTCTTTATACCATCCAGATCAAGTACACTGCACACACTTTTAGTTTTAATTAGTCCAAATGAATAACTGTTAGTTGATTGTTTCTTTTGTCTTTTGTCGGCAACGTTTTTTTTTTTAATTTTTTCAAATGAATTGCCAACTGCACATTTAAATCGTATCACACTTTTGGCCTGCGAGAAAAAAAACAACAACCCAGTTTCTAAACTATTCGCAACACGGTTCGTTTAACACATTCAATACCACTAATGAAAACCAAAACGGCAAAATAGCCAAAATGTGAAGAAAGAACTCGTCGGTTGTTTTTCTTCGCTTCGTTTTTTTTTCATCTTAATTTCATCTTCTTCTCTTTCATCCAACCAACAACAATCAAAACAATGAAAAAAGGATTCCAAATAGCACTTAAGCAAAATGCTTTCGGTCATTTTAAATCGAGGAAAGAAAAAAAAGTCGGCGAAAAGAGCAATGACGACAACAACAAAAATGCCGCCATATCTCGCAGATCGGTTTTAATCATCGCAACCGATGCAGAAATTTCAATTTAATTTGTTTAATTCAAATCGGTTCGTTGGAAACATTTCAAAAGTGCAATCATACAAACTTCGGCTCGATTAGAAGTAGTTCAAGTGAGAAATGAGTTTTTGTATAGTTTCGAAATGTGTTTGGATTGTTTGTTGTACAAACGAGTGGGCAAGTAAATACGCGCGCGAGAGAATAAGACCGAACTAGATAGAGAGAGAGTGTGTGTGAGTGCGCGCGTTTAATTAACAGCATGCTATTTGGATGTAGATGAGATATGCGTTCAATTTGCAGATTACAAACAACGAGAATACTTATGCTGCTGTCGCTATCGCCGCCGTCATTTGTTTGTTGTATACAAATATATGGTTTTGAAATCATATACGAACAGCGAATTGTAAATGGCTTTGTGTGTCGTAAAGAATGGCAGATAAATAATTTCCCGTTGCTTGAAAAGAAATGAAAAGCGCTATGATGTGCTCGTAAAAAGATTGCGAAAACTCTTTTCGCTGCTCGTTCTTCTTGGCTTCATTAGTGTGTTTCTCGCTGTGTGTGTGTGTGTATGTATGTGTGTGTGTGTGTCTATATTCGTAAAATATAGGATTTGGCTGGTGATCATTTAATGCAATTTTCGCAATGGTTATTGTAGCTGGCGAATGTCCGATTTAGATGAATGTTTTTCTTTTGAATATATATATATATTATGCTGTTGCTACTGCTGTTGCGAGAAAAATGACGAAGGAAAAAAAACGGCTTTTACTAAAAATGAACTCGCGATAATTGAGGGCCGTTCCACTGAGTCAGCAGAAAGAAAAAGAACGAATGTATGGTCCAGAAACAGAGTGTGGCAACAAACGATTGCATCGCATTCAAAATTGGCGACGAAAAATGCTTCAGTTTGCTATATCGTCACCACATGTGTGAATGTGGAAACGATATAACACCAATTCGACATTTGTGATTTTCATTTTTTTTCTTCTGCTTCCTATTCAGGATTTACGTTCTCGTTTTGTTGTTTCGACTGAAACAAGACTAACAATCACATTTCTCGCTTAAATAATACACACACGAAACTGGCGACGAAATTCAATTCGTTATTCTTTCATGTGTTCTTATGCAGTTGCATCTTGCAGAGATTTGGTGCATAGCGCATGGAACACTGAAAAAAAGCCTGACATCAATTACCGAGAGAGAGAGAGAGAGAGAGAGAGAGCGAGAGAGATCGAGAGCGAGAGCGAGTGAGAGAAAATAGTATACACAAAACAATACAAGCATACAAACAGTGTGAGGAAGTGAGTCTCACATCCATGATGCAACTAAATAATAAAATTGGATGTTGAAAAGTCGACATAAGGCGAACTGATACACGAGTATTTATCCTAGTTGTTTCTCATCCCTTCAACCCGTTTCGTTTAATCAATTTTCGGTTTTTCGACTGGTTCGTTTTGCTGTGTGTGTTTTCAAGTGTTGTTGCAATTCTCATTTGTTTCGGTTCTAAAATAAAATAAATTTTTACCGAAAACATCGTTATTGCACGACGTTGTATGCGCGATACAACAACAATAGCAACAGCAGCAACAAAACGGAACGATAATAATGGAAAAAAAGCGACAAATATTGAAACAACATGAAATGCAACGAATCAAAAATTTTCACCAGATTCCGTGTCAGCGAAATGAGAGAAGAATCGTAAAAAATGACACACAATGAGAAGCAAACATTCCGAAAAGATCAAATAATAATCTAGATAATGATATCGCTTCGGAGGCGCTGTGCGAATTGTTGATGTGAAAATGTTGTACGTGTGTGTGTTGCCAAAATGTTGTGAACGCGAGTGAGATTCAGTGTGGTGGGAGGTGGAAGGAGAGGGCTGGCACTGATGAAAATTGGCACTGCAAGGAACTTGTAACGGAAGCGACCGTACACAGAAAATAATCTAGCAGGAAGTGTAAATGAAGGCAAAAAAGAAAGTGAGCGAGCGAGCGAGCGAGCGAGCGAGAGAAGATGAAGACAAGACAAAGTTAAAGCAGCAAACATAAATAGCAACAACAACAATGACAATAGTAAAACTGGTGGTTACAAAGGTGGCAGCACTAAATCAAGAGCGTAAATGAATGTACGAAGCTAATCTGTAGCCGCCTGTGTCGTTCGGATCAGCACGGCACTCAGTAGTTAGTGCTTTAGTCAGTCGTCCAGCATAAATCAGAGTTAATCTAGCTAATTATAATTAAAGGTAGAATTGCAGATACTTAAAAGACAATCGAGAGATGTTGCACGCTGGATGAGCGAGCGAGCGGATACATAAAATAAACACTTCATGTTTTCCTTTTGAAAGTCTCTTGGAAGGCGATCGAATCTCTTTCTTTCTCCTCTAATTAATATGAAACGAATAGTTTGCATGGGATGAGGGCGGAGGTGAACTTCTTCAAATGCTGTGCACAGTGGTGCAAGTCACACAGACTTATGTGTACGATTAAGAATTGAATACGGACTTATTTGTTTGCCACCATCGCCGCCACCACTGTCACCACTGAGCTTCCCATTCCGTGTGCACTTATGGTCCCTAAACAAACTAGACGATTTGCGCTCGACGATGACGACAACGACAACAACAACGATGAACAAGGAACACATTCCAAGCTTAGCACTTCTCGTGCCTGAGACGTTTTGCAAAAGCTAGTCTTGAAAAGAAAATTATGGTGTCGCAGTGACAAACACGTGTGCATATAAAATAGCTAGTATGTCAATCGATGTTTATAGTTATGCAACATGAACTGAATTCTCTATTAGCTGAACATTGCCAATTCACCCAATACGCTTAGTAATCACTGTCGTCGTAGCCAAAAACAAACTACTACGAGCCAACCGGATCGAACACACACACACACACATGCACACATAGAACATTTTCGAGAAATGCTCGTTTTGCTGCACTTTTATGGAACGTGCTGCATTTAAATGAAATAAACGACACGCAACTGTTTTCGCTTCTATATAAATTTCTTTCGATTCCGTATGCTTTTTGTGTGTTTCTCTTCTTTGGCCGTTTCAATGTGGCTTTCTTCTAAGCCATGCTCCGAAACCCGTTGCTTTGGTTCATATGGAGAAAGAAAAAAATGCAATAAATTCAGTTTGAAATGATCGACCGATAGTCTGTCTGTCTGGTTTTCTGTTATATACATGGTGCAGTGCGTGTATCCGTTCAGTGCGCAAGCGTTTATGCGCTTAAATCAATTTTAATTGATAAATATTCCATCTTCTGGTATAGACTTTGATTGCTTTTTTTTGGACGTTTAGCCCATTGTGACTGTGCAAAATTGTGCACTCTCCCTTGGCACGGTTGACTCAATCCGGTGTCTAGCATCGAAATTTCCGAAAAATGTTGCTTCGCTAGCGATTTTAAATATTATGATACTAACTTTTCGTCGTCGTCGTCGTTGTCGTCGTCGTCTTTTTTTTTTCTCACTCTCTCTTTCCATCGTCGAACTTGTGCATAAATAAAACATTTTGCGTTGCAGCGAAGCATCCGTTTTAGTCGGTATTAAAATTCATCGAAGAGGCGTGCGCTCGACGAGAGAATGCAGCACCACCATACAGCATCAGAAAAAGACTGACGAAAGAGAAACAAAAAATCACAGCGATCGACTTAATCAACTTTTCTCTCAATTAAGCTAATTTCGCATTTTTGCTGATGGGGTTGTGCTTCGTGTTCAAATAAGTATTAGCATACTTGCCACTGAATTTGTCATAAATAAATTGATGTAAATCGATCGGAAACCGCACGGGTGGAATACTATTTAAATGGAAATTTACGACACAACCATATAACGTCAAACAAATGACGTGGGATGGCTGGCTGGTTCGAAAAAAAAAGAGAATGAAAATGGAGAGCAAGCTAAAGCGAGAGAATGACAATGGATTGATAAAAAAGATGATAATGATGCTAAAAGTCGAAGCAGTGCGTCAATTTATCACAGACACTGACACCGTATCAATATATTTTACTATAAGGGTGTGTTACAAGTTGCGGCGCAGTTAGTTGAGCGTACACATAGTTTACACATTGTTAGAAAATGTATCAAAAGAACACCTGGCCGCAACAGTAACGGGGCAGCCGCAACATGAATAGAAAAGAGAGACAGGTAGAGTGAGGAAAAGAGATAGAAAATATATGAAGAAAAAAAAAACTAGCGAAGAAACCAAAAGAACTAGAAACCACTAAATTCAATTCAATCGAATTAATTCTGAACAGGCAGCGATTACGTCAAGCATGAGGGTGGTGCAAATGTGTTTGCTATTCGCAAATGATTAGCATTCCGATGGCCAAACTTTGAGATAAAGAATTTACCCGACGAGTCGGAATTTATTTTGACAGGCATTTTTAGTTGGTGATAGCGTTTTTCAATAATCTATATGTCGAACGGTTTTGTGTCTCTATCTATATCTCTTACAATCTGTCATTTATTCACACTTTTTGTTTTTCTTTTGTGGGCTCAACTTTGATGGATGGCTGTCGAATTTGTTTTTGTACTCACACACACACTCTCTTAACTTGCTTACAAGATTCGATATATTGGAAGAAAAGCCCACCACAAATATGTTCATTGTTTGCTTTGCATAACATTCGGTCTGCAAGTAATGGTCCTAAGAGATATCCATTTGTTGTTGTTGCCACTGCTGCTGTTGCTGCTGCTGCTGTTGTTGTTGTTGTTGAGAGCAAACGAAATAGTTCACATTAATTTAGTAATCATAATAGAACCATACGCAAGTAGCAACAAAACGGCATAGAACCAAAACACACATAAACTCTGCTGGCTAGCTGACTGTATGATGCGTATACACACACGCAAGCACATTACACGCAAAAGATAAAGAAATCAAATTTTGTTGTGTAAATTTGCGTTTGTGTGTGGGCAGAGAGAGAGAGAGAGAGAGAGAGAGAGAGAAGCAGCAGCAGCAGTAGAAAATGCTTGCACACGTATGAAACGATACAGCGAAAAGCTCTCATGTGCTTACTTTTATTTTCATGTGGTTCTTTTTACTGATTCCTCGTACTTTTCTCTCTCATTCTACATGTTATGCTGTTGTTGTTGTTATTTTTTTTGTTACCGTTGTTGTTGCTCGTACTGCTGCTGCTGTTCGTGTGCCGTAAATGGGAATATATTTCAAAAAGTAACACAAACACATCGAAACATTGGAGCGCGCTTATCACTTTCTACACTAATGCGATTTGTCGACAACTTCTTGTGCTCTTTGTACATTTGCTGCTCGGTGAAGTTTTTCGCTCTTGTCATTCGTTCGCTTTCTCTCTCTCTCTCCCTTTCTCTCTCTCTGTTTTCTCTCTCTTTGCCTCTCGTGCTACGATTTTTCTACGGAATACTTTTCCTTACGACTAAATTTTTATTTTGGCGTTCAGCCATCACCATCCATCCACCACATACACACACACACAAAATATGATTCTCTCTCTTGCTGGTCGTCTTCGTTATATTTTTTATTTTGTTCTTCTTGTCTCGTTTAGTCATGTGAAACAAGAAATGAATTTTATCTGATTTAATTTTGAAGGGTAGAAAGAAAAACGGCACATTGTTTTGTTTCTTCAGACGACGATGTAAACTCGTTGCTTTTATACGTACAAATTTGGGCCTCAACAACGAGAAAACAAAGCAGAGTCGCTTGCTCATGAGGGTGAGCGAGCGAAAGAGAGAGAGAGAGAGAGAGAGAGAGAGAGAGAGAGAGAGAGCAAGTGAGAAAGAAACAAAATAACATAAAAAAATTACAGAGTCCAAGACTGTACACAAAGATTCTGTGTTTGCTTATTTTTCTTTTGCCTTCCCATTCTCTGCCACTCGGTGGTATCTGTTTTGTGTGTGCGAGCCCAACATTTGACATTTTCTCAAATTCCGTAAAACTTTTCATCGCAAAATGAAAATAAATGAAAGGTGACATCTCTCCCATACGCTGAAAATGATGTGATTTTTTGTTTCATTTTATTAAAAATGCCTTGGATATCATTTTTTTCTTCTTTTCTTCATCTGTATCCATGTTGTTGGTCATTTCTTTACTTCACTTTGGTTTTCTTTTCTTGATTCTTTTTTTTTCTTGGTGCTTTTTTTGACGTGTTGGTTTTCTCGACGTCTACTACGATTCTCAAGCGTCACAAAAGTTCCCGTTCGGTTTTGCTCACACAAGCTTAACACACAAGGAATACGCAAACTTCTTTTCTATTTCATTCTTTTGTAATTGTTTTTTTTTTCATTCTATCGTCATTTTTGTCCTTCTTCTTCTTCTTCCTTAACACACAAACACCAATTTATGATAATTATTCCAATTTACCGAGAGTGAAATGGCTAAATGCAAACGATGAAAATCGAAAAAGAACAAAAAATCAAAACACACGAGTTAGAGAAAAACACTCTTTATGCACAATGTAGTGTGTTTAAACACCGGAAAATTATCAAAAAGGGTGCAGCAGCAGTTACGACAATGCCAGGGATTTACTTAACTAACTACAGTCGGGTTGGAAATTTTTATAGCAAATATCAGAAGCATAAAGACGTAGCAGTAGGCACCATTGCACACACTCTCACATCCTCTGTATACACACTATCGCACACTCACAGACATACACAAGTGCACCATCAGCCATCAAATGGAGAGCTTGCATGTTTGAGTGTGTCTCTGTGTGTGTGTATGGTTCAATGCCATATGCAGAATAAGAACGAACAATGCGCATTGCATATTAAGGGATGAAATGAGATGGAGTTTCGATGTTTCTTTTTTTAATATTTTCACCAATACCTCGGCAATTTTATTTTATTTGATGTAGCTGAACATTGTCTACGTATGTACAAATGACATGAGAGAGAGAGAGAAAGAGAGATTGACCATAGCACATACACATATATCAACAGCATACACACATTTACAGCGTACTTTTAGCATGGTGCTTTTCCACAAAAACATTCTCCATTTTATCCCATTTCCCCACGCTCACTCAAGCTTATGTGCCCATAGTGCACAAATTGAATACTCTTCACTTGGTTGGATGGAAGCAGCTTTTGAGGCGGCCAAATCCGAAAATACGTTAGTCGACTTAAAGATTTTTCATTAAAATGGAGTTTTGAGTAATATTATTCTTCATCATTTGATATTATGTCATATTTTAGTGAGTATAGAAGTAAAAAATTCTCTAAATTCTTTCATAGTGGTAACTGACCACTAAAAAAAGCACTCCATTAAAGTTTTAAACTAGAAGAAACGTAAAACTTGACTTAAAAAATATAAATTAGTTTGAAAACCATCTGATTTTCGACCGATTCAATTGAAGCATGCATTGGCTATTCGTGATAGACCTACCTGTGGCACGCATAATCAGACTGTGCGAAAAATTTGAACAAACACCATTGGCAATGTGTGTTTTTGGGGAGCATTTGAATATGTTGCGTTAATGCGTACAGCATCGCGACGTATGCACGGTGATGACGTATTTCAAAAGTTGAGAGTGTGGTGGAGCGTTTGGTTTGTTGTGTTTTAGGGATAAAATGTGAAAATGGGGTAGAATAGTCGAAAAGTTGATGCTATGTTCATACACGATATGAATCGTTTGTTTGTGGAATTTTTTTTTCTTTCGTGTCGACATTGTGTGTTATTCATGTGATCGTCAATCGTCGTCCCCTCCTCTTCACACATTGCATGCCACGAGCTACAGCTTATTCTCCCCATCGTTCATGGATTCTCTGTCGTTTACGTTGCTTGCATCGAAAAATACACGAAACGTGCAAACTACTCACTCACTCACTCATTCACAGGGTATTCGGTCGTTGCGCACATCGAAATGCGCATACTATTCCATTATAATAACTCAATAATAACAAAGTATCCTCCGTGTGTACATCCATAGAGACGACGAAATGTCTCTTCAATCAAAGTGTGTGTGCGCTCTAGTATATTGTCGATTGGAATCTTGTCTTCGAATTCAAACGGTTCCTCCGTAAAATTTTGCAATGCAAAAAACAAACGAAAAATAAAAATGTGTGTTCGCCGTTTTCTGCATACGGAATTCTATTTGGGAGGGCATTATGCACGAATTGTTTCGCTTTTGCCACCATTGAACGACCCCGCACACACATCAAGTACAATATAAATGCCTTTAACAATCCGATTGATTGAACATTTGCTTTAAACGTGAGCCGTGAATTTAATCAACTTAATTCATTCGGGCTTTGTTTGAGCTGTTCAATTCGATGATGATGCTGCTACGGCTGTGGATGTGGCTGTGTTTCTCGATGAACGTATTTTTAGATATAGATTGAAATCGAGGAAGAAACACATAATGGTTGAATTGCAAATCAAAAACCGAACATGATGATGACGGCGAAGAATAAGACGACAACCAAAACGGCCAAGCCTTTAATTTTACGTTTTTGTTTTTCGATTCGGAAGAGCCGCTTTCTTTTCCTTCTTTCTATCTGTTTTTCTTTCTTTGTGCCCGGTGAAAAAGGTGAGCCAGATCGCTTTTTGTCTCAAGGCAAAGATGGAAAACGATGTACAATTACATGTTTGCAATCGCACAATTTCTATTCGGCAAACCGTTTTTGTATTCAGTGCGTGGCTTCTGGCACTTTTGGCTGCTTCTTGTCGCAATTTATACCAGCTACCAGCATATACACACATAGTACATACGTACATGAATAGAAAAATTGTCGGTGTATGTGAGTACTTTGTGTAAAACGATAGATAGATACCAAATGCCGGGGTTGACTTAGCTTTTGCATTATTTAACACGGATTACGAATGGTAAATTTTTACGGTATAATTTACATTAAAACGATGAACAAAACACCTATAGTTCCTGAAGCGCGCGTGACACATAGCATCGTGTATCCCGATGTGTGTGTGTGTGTGTTTCGCATGCAAAAATATTTTGCCGTCGTTTTAAAGCTGGTTTCGAGAATGGCCGGTGCGCGCGCGCGTTCAGTCCATACCGCTTTTTTGAACCGTTTTGAACTGCATGAAAAAGATGATTACATGCACTAAGGGATTTGTCCAATGTGTGTCTGCTTCTGTATAAGCTGGAATCGAGTGTGCCATGAAAATTCGGTGTACAAAATAGAAAGTACGGTTCGTTTGGAGCTTCTTCTTTTTATCGTCACATACTTTTCAATTACAGGTCGATTTGGTATGTGCAATGGGTGAAATTTATGGGATTTATTGAATCGCTATTATAGTGCAGAAGCATCGATATCACAAGAGCTTTGATATTCACTTTATATTCAATAGAAAGAGAGAGGGAGTTAGAGAGAGCGAGAGGACGAGCTAGGATAGTAAGAGAAAATAGTGTACGTTTCAAATTCAAACGCACACAAAACATATTGGATTATCACAAGTGCTTCGGTAATTTGTTTGGGATCTGCAAACGTGGTTTCTCACGTGGACAGGTTAAAATGTTTGATAGTTTTTCTTTTCTCCCTTCACATTTCTTCCATATTCAGCAGTCGTTTTGCCGAATTTCAGGAGTGAATCAAGTGAAAAGCATCGAAATTCCAATTCGATTGTGCATTTGACACATAGATGCTTGAAGATCTTTTTGGTTATTTTGAACGTTTGCCAAAAGAAAACAAAAATGGTAGAGAGAAAGAGAAAGACAAAGTGGAGGTTGAAACGGCCGCTTCAAAGTAACGGCCATAAAATTGAACGATTCCAAAACCGGAAAGATAATCTTTTCGGATCGTTCACTCTCTTCGTCTTTCGATGAAAAAGTAACGCGATTGAAAACACCAATGCAAATATGCGATTCTGAAATGCGAAGCCGAAAAAAAAATCACAGGCAGTAGCAGCAGCAGTAGCACACTTAATGCTTTTCCAAACAATTGACCAAATTTATGGGTGGCGAGTGTGTTGGACATGAGTATTTTGCAATACGCAATCGAAAAAGATTGAGAAATTTCCCAAGCAAACGCAGCGATGAGCAACAACAGCAACAACAAAAATCATTGTGTCTCCAAAGTTATTGGGGTACAGGCAGCCGCTGTTATGTATTCAATAAAGAGATAGAAAAAGAGAGACGTTTTTTTTTGCGCTATTGGAAGAACTTCAGAAGCGAATAGAACAGACTACGTGCAAATGCGATTTTCGTACTGCACAGTAACACAAGCAAGATACTAGAGCGCAATTCATTATTTTTTGGCTTGTGTATTTGCTTAGAATTTCGTATTGCAGAAGAGAGAGAGAGAGAGAGAGAGAGAGAGAGAGAGAGAGAGAGAGAGAATGAGAAAGAAAAACACCAAAAACGACGAAGCTGCTGGTGTGTCCACGTTCTTCATCTTACGATTTTTAACTTCAAAAAGACGAGAAATACTCTGTTTATGCAATGCCATGATTCATGAATATATTTATTCGAACAACTCTCTCGTTCGCTCTATCTTGTGCGACTGCCGCATTTATTTTAGCCTCCGTAGGAAGTTGTTCTAATCCATCAAAAAGGAAAACAAATACACAGACCGAAGATACATACGATAGTACATACGAAATAAAAAACGCTATATCTCTGGACTTGCACCGTTGAAGCTGGGATTTCGATCAAAAGTCACATAAAAGCTCTTTTTGTCTCTCTCTCTCTCTGTCTGTGTATGCACACAATTGAAAATTCAATCGGAATCTTGCACTTTGGATGCCATAAAAATGAATCGAATGTACGACGAACGAAGTAGTTTTCAATGGAGTAGCAAAAATTAAACGATTACAATTGCAAGCTCAATGCCTTTCATTCGATCGGGTCGAATCAATTTTGCTTCTAATGGCAATGACAACCACCAACAACAACGAAACATTAATACAAAAGTTGACACGAAGCGTTGTTCATGTTGCATATTGAATCATTTAATTTAAATTTCATTAGGCATGATCGTCAACGTGCGCTTTGAATGCGTTTGTATTTCAATTAAAATGAATTGTTCAGCGGTGTGAATCAAATTTAACGATCAATTATTGTTCGTTTTTTTTCGCGCTGCCGCTGTCGAAGACGTCATTGTCACCGTTGTTGTTGTTGTTGTTGCAATCTCGCGATATGCATGTTTCGAATGCGATCACCAAAGCAGCGATAAAAAAAGTTCATTTAGCTTTACATATTAAGAGATGGAATAATTTCCAATGGTTCGAAAATACGGTTAATGCACTGAACGTGATGTTTTCCAAAGACCAACAGCCAAAAGTAACGATGGCATTTGATGGACATGTGGAATGGGAATCTTGATGTGGGTGTGTGTGCGTGTGTATGAAGCCTATTCATTAAATTGGATTGGAGAAAAAATGAGGCTTGGCATATCATCCCATCATCGATATTGGGGTGCGTGTGTCATTTTAAGAACCGACAAGAATTCAATTCATTCTCAATGCTCAATTGCTCACTCAGTTCATTGATGTATGAACTTCATTTAATTTCCTTTTTCAATCGGGGCTTTTCGGAGCAAAAACGGTTCACTTCACAATGGCCGAATGCAGTACAACCACA